TCAACCAAATCCTAGTATTTGCATAGGTAGGCCAGTGGGCACCCCCAGGGCCTGACAGTTATAATAAGCATCATTATTTTTGTGAACTTAAGGATCCAGATTTTATAGAAGCCAATCTAAGAAATTTTCAGAGTTAGTTTCTTATAAACAGTTTTTGCCAGATATTGTAGCAGAACTTTTATGCCTTTCTAGCAGGCAGCTTAGGTGTCATCTATCAAAAGTACAGCAAAAAAGAAATAAGTTTTGAACCTCTGGGAGGTTGCATTTAGGAGTTGGCTTTTGGGTCCAGGACTGAGGTGTTTGCACAGAGGGTCTGGCTGAAAGAAGCCAACCAAAGGCAGAATAAGACATTCTTTAGGTCCATATAGGTGTACCAGCAGGCAGTGGGTAGCAAAAAGACTGAGGCAGTGTATACAGAGGACAATCTAGATGGCATTGGAGCTTGGAGATCTTGAATTGGCTTTATAGGCAGGAGAGATATATTTCAGCAGTTTGACAATCTGTAAACATCTTGTGATTTTGAAAGCTCTGGATGTGTGGTTGAATTTTTAGCTGAGTCTCTTGCAGCATGGGGTACTGTTTGGTATAGCAGAGAGTTTCCCCAGGATGGATTTACAGTAACAGAATTGTGGTGCTGGAAGGAAGAGAGAAACAGGCTATCTCAGAGCAGCCAAATCTGTGTCAGAGCCATGTTGAAAATAGTGGGGGAGTTCCTAAACCCTTGTGGCAAAAAGGGTGTATGGGTTGGGAATTGCAGAATTTAACATGATGGCTCCATTATTGATGGCATAGAGATCTTGTTCAAAGTAGTTAATAGTCTGCCAGGCTGATGTGTGACTGGATGACTGTTTGTGTTTTCTGTGACTGCTGACAGCAGTGTGTGTCATGGTTAGGTGGCATGGTTGATCTCCAGGCTGGAAGCAAGTCTTTTTTTTTTTTTTTTTTTTTTTTTTTTTGGTACCAGGGATCAAACTCATGACCTTGCACTTTCCAGGCAAATGCTTACACCACTGAGATAAATCCCTGGCCCAAAGATATTCATGAATTTGTTTTTGTTTTGTTTTTTGGTATTGGGAATTGAACTCACTACCTCTTGCTTACCAGGCAGATGCTGTGCCGCTGAGCCTGGAGGTAAGTCTTTAGCCCATACCTCTGGGAGGAGAGTTTTTAGAACTTCAGTGTTGCTGTTACCTGTCTTAGGCTGATGCGAGTATCATCCTTGTCTCAGGGAACAGTCAAGGTCGAAAGTGCAAGGTTAAACTAGAGGGATGCTAACTGGCTTGGTTCAAAGGAGATATCCTCCAAGGCTGTAAGTTTGTGCCTGGAAAAAAGAGTGAGAGGTGAGAGGCAAGAGTCCCAGTTGTCCTGGTTATGGTAACTTTTTTAACAGACGGAACTTTTGAGGGCAAAAAGTCCTTCCATTCTATTGTCTACCAGAAAAGTCACAGCTTTGCCTCCAACTTCTGTGATGACTGTGGCCTCTCAGGGGCCCAATTTGATAGAGCTTGATCTGTCCTGTCCATTCAGGCCCAAAAGGATGCAACTTATTTGTCAGGGGTGACAGTCCAATTTTTCTCAGTCAAAATACAGAACTCAGAAGAAATTGTTTATAGTCATCTCGGTGGGCATTAGATGCTATCTGACCAGGATTGGTGTGTAAGCAGAAGGCTTTGGAGGGAGGGCTCTGTGGCAGAATGTAGGCAATGGATAGCTGGAACCAGTTCAGTTGGCTGAAAGCGGAAGAGTTTGGAGTGGGGAGTGAAGCTATAGGGGTTGGTAGCAACCATAGCAGCCTACAAGGATGCCAGGGTAGACTTCTCAAGAAGAATGGACCTCTTTTTCCTTTTTTTTTTTTTTTTTTCTTTTAGATGCAGGGAGTGGTTTGGTTTCATTTTGAACTCCATAAAAGCTTTGTTTCCTGGAGTCAGTTTTTGACTAATTCCTATTTCTGGCTCCCCACATGTGTGTTGTGTATCCTTGAATGATGGCACAACAAACAAAGGAGGTACCTCTCAAGAGAGACCATTCATATGCCCACCTGATCATGCCCCTCATGGGGACTTAGGCACAACCTAGCTAAGGAGGGTTCGAGGCCTCCATTATGCCATATGTTGAGTGCCACGGAACTGCAGGTGAGGGCCCAGTCAGCTACCATGACCAGTGCTTCCCAGTCTTGGTGCACAGACAGAGCAGCCTATTGCTTATGCTGTCCATGCCTCTCATAACATCATTCAGCTGGTGCCACATCCTGCATAAGTCTCAGAGTTCCTGGGGAGAAGGGTGGGGAGAGAATGGAGAAATAAAGACAATATATAGAAAGCTGAGGTCGTGTGGAGCCCTCTCTCCAGATGGGAGGAAAGGAACTGCAACTATAGCTATGTGTTTATAGATATGACACATGACACCCTTTGCTTAACTAGCTGGCCTCTCATGCCTGTGTTCTTGGGGCTGGAACACCTGTTTGCCTGGGGCACTCCACTTAGCTGCTTCCAACAAGCAAGTACTTAGAGGCTAAACATTCCAACCCCCCTTCCCTTGAGGATAGCTTTAACCAACAAGATTTGATCAAGCTCTTCTGTTTTAACTGAGCAGGATTGAAAGACTTGAGTAACTGGGATGCCCAAGGGTCTTACCAGAATCAGGCAGGCAAGTAGGCAGGGCAGGCAGACAGACAGATTGTGTCCTCCACCCTTTGGGGTCTGATCTGAGCCATTTGACGGGGGAGCCAGTCATCCTCCAGACTTCCAAGGGGACTTGAGAAATCTTAAGGACATTCCTTCCCGTCTGGAATTGGAGAAGTCCTTGCTCCATACACGAGGGCCATGACCAAAGAGGTTAGCACAGTCAGTCTTTCTGGCCAGCATTTCAGATGTAATGACAAACACCCAGGATTTGGAGGCAGATTTATCATCAACAGGCACTGATTGGGATCATTCTTATACTATCAAGCCCCAATCGCTGGTGGTCTGGGGCTTATACGAGGCAAGCAAGCAGGAAGTATACAGGCAGAATGGTTTGTCAACTGGGAACTGGTTTATACAGTGTGCATCACAGTGACCCGCTGTTTCTAAGAGGTAAGAACAGCTGGAACTAGAACAGGAACTATTACCTGGGCAACTAACTAACTGAAGTATACTGTTTGGGCTGAGCATTTTCTGCTGCTCTGAATCTGCTGTAGTAGAAGATGATGTGGTAGCCCAAGGACCCCAAAACCGTAGGTGTTTGAGGGAGAAGACACTGGATGAAAAAAATCAAGAAACTACAGAAAAGAATACCAAGTTTTAAGATTTTGGGAATTTAGTTTACAACATAGAGGAATTTGTTTTGGACTTGAATTACCTTGGAAATTTAATAATGTGAAGGGATTCACTTTGTTCAGCTTTCTGCTATTCTTTGTTGTTTCATTTGGCCCTTTAAAAGTAAGCTTCCCTGTTGACCAATTTTGGGCAATAGGAATAGATGTGATTTCAGACAGACTAGAGAGTGAATATTTGGCCTAGGGTACACTGTGGCCTTGAAGTTACATTATTTAATGACCCCATCGCTCTAATGCATTACAGAGAATCTTGGGAAGAACAACACAGTTTGTGTCTCAGTGGTCTCAGGAAGTTACAGTCAAGATCAAATGTAATAACTGAATTAGCTGCTAATCTCTTAGATGAACAGTCTTCATTGAACAAGTATTTGATTATTAGACCCAGTTGATAAAGACAAAATAATGCGGCTTGGATGTTAAGGAATTATTCAGCACCTCTTTCTGCATTTCTGCCAGATCTTATGAGGGAGAAAACTTCCACCTAAGCTTCTGTCCATTTCTCTGCCCTCTTATGAGATCTTCTACTTGGAAGCATTGATTAGTCTGATCAGAGACACTGGTGACATTTCACTGGAGGGAGGGAACATAATATTGCAAGGCACTCATGTTTTTTTTTTTTTTTTTTTTTTATTTAAGAGGAAAAAGAGAAAAACACAAAACAAAACAAAGCAGTGTAAGGTTACACATAATACATAACTACAAAAAAAAAACATAACAGTAAGAAATCACCTGTTAATAGATTACATAATATCATCTTGGAAATAGTTGCTCAAATCACAGTATCAAAGAATACAAAGTAGACATTCAAACTGGAGAGACTGCAAACAGCTGTGTTCAATGATCCAAAAACATTAATATAGTCAGCTATTTAACATCCCTAAACACACTTGTTGTTATATCCGTTAGAGCTCTTTTTTTTTTTCCCCTCCCTCTCTTTTTTATAACAAAATTTATACATTTTGGATTTTATTACTCCTCAGTTCTCATTACTCTCTTGGGGGGGAGAGAATAAAGTCAAATATGGCAAAACAAAGCTGTAAGTCCAAACCAAGGATAGACATAGCACATGATGTAGAACAGAGTACAAGGTCATCAACAATGGTTATCAACATTGTCTCTTGTTTCCTTAAAAGGAATTGTCCATCTCATTAGATATTATAAAGCCGGACAAAACAGTGGAGAACAAGACCAATAAAACTTAGGCATTGTGAACATTACAGGACTTCCAAAGGAGACAATAGTCAAACCAGAATGGGCATCTTTGTGAATCTTATTGCCTTCAAATTAGTTGCCTATACCTTCAAACTTGCTACTATCGCACAGAATGGAACAGAGTCTAATCAGTCAAAACAAGATCTTGGGAGTATTACAGGACTTCAAAACAAGTTAATAGGAGATCAAAAAGAGTTACTACTATATATCCTAATTTTTTAAGTTTTTCCCTTAATTAAAATAAACATAAGAAATAGCTAAATAATTTTTTTTTAAAGAATAGTAGTTACCATAGTGTCTGTCTTTTTCCTTAAAATATTTGGATAAAACTTCATATACTATAGCTTCAAATATTTCCATATCAAAAAGCCCAGAGTAAAGCCTTTCTAATTAATAAGTGAAAATTTTATAAGGCTTCAAGGCCACATAATGGGGAATCATGATTATCACATTTTTATATATTTGAATCATTACTTACATTAGGGAAACTATTCGGTATTCATACATGTTTTTTCCCTGCAGGCCCTACTGCCTGTTTTTAATTTCCTACTGCTAGGAACGGCAGGCTGGTTTGCACATTTCCTGCCGGTGGGAGCAAATCAAGAGGTAGGGGGTGTTGGATTAGTTTTCTTGAAAAGTCTCTGTTTTCCTCTTCTGCCCTCTATTTCTAACTTCATGTTCTAATAGGCCAGCCTCACGCTGGCAGCTGGCCTTGTCAGATGGACTTGTGCTTAGGAATTGGTACCTCTGTACTTTAGTGGTTTCTAATCTCTGGTCTGACTTACGTTTTGGCACACTCGAGGGGTCCCAAGGTTTTTTTTTTTTTTTGTGTGTGTGTGTGTGTGTCTTTTTCCTTTTTGTTGGTACCAGGGATTGAACTCACGACTGCCTGCTTGCAAGGCAGGCGCTTATGCTGCTGAGCTAAACCTCCAGCCCCTGGGGGGGTCCCAAGGTTTACTTAGAAAAGTAAGAGGCCTCATTTTGACTCCCCATTCTACCCAGCTATGATCCAAACTTTACTTTAAATTTGGCCATTTGTCTGTCTACTAATAAAATGGTATTGAGATTGAGGATTTCACTGGAGACATACTGAGCTGACTGGGAGAAGGCGGCTGGAAGGGTTTGGATTTGAGGGTTTTTTTTTTTTTTTATTTGTTTGTTCTTTTTGAGAAAGCTATGGTGTACTTAAGGCTGACTTTGAACTCACTTCATAGCCCAAGCTGGCCTGGAACTTAGCAGTTCTCCTGCTTCAGCCTTCCAAGTGCTAGGCTTACAGGCATGCATCACTGTGGCCAGCTGGTTTGAAATTTAAACCAAACACTATTTTTGAGGACAGATTATTATTTTCTAGCTTTTAAAGCCATGGACATGTCTTATAAGAGGTTGCATTATTAAGAAATTCCTAAAAGAAAAATGAAGCACAAGAACTTTGAAATGTTGGAACTTTTTATGACATTAAAAACCAGTTTTTTAAGACAAGAATTTGTAAATATAACTTGAGCAAGATTTTGCAACTATAATTTACCTCTAGGCTTGGTAAGTGAATAACTATTGCCATTCAAGTTATAAGTGATGAAAAGCTGTGAAAGACAATTCCAAAGAAGTGAAAACAATGTTATAGTCAACGCATGTAATAAATTCTTATTTTGACCCTAAGGAGCTATACCTTCTATGCTAACAGCAATTGTATTGTTTTTTGTCCTTAGTTATTTAAAGAATACTGGTTTGAAGAGGTGCCAGATGACTCCTTTCCCAAGGCCCCCATGTGACCTGACCTGGTCCTTTCTCAGCCTCTTTCCACCCTGTCCTCTGTCCCCTGCTACCTGCTGCACAGCATGGCCCTGCCCTCCTCTGCCCTGAGCCTCCTGGAAAGAGAGGCCACTGACGGAGAGGCAGGTGTGGAAAGGAGCGTAAGGATATGAACTAAGACGAGGAGGGAGAAGTCCGCTTTTCTGTTTAAAAAAAAAAAAAAATCGTGTGTTACTGAACTACTCAAACACATGATAGGCATTTGCTCTCTAGAGACCAAGGGTGATAAGCCTTACGCACGAGCCAACCATGTCAAATGACACTGGTTCCACGCATTCCTGCTCACTTCATTTCTGTTCAATGGGCAATAAGTGAATAAAGACAGACATGAAGATTTATATATAAAATAATTTTTAGAAAATGTATCTCTTTTAGAACACAGCTGGAAAAGGGGCTTGGGCGGAGGTGCAGGTTTTGAGGTATGAAGGCATGGAGTGTCTTACCCAGTCCATTGTCCACCTGCCCTCCTCCCCAGCATTTCAAGAGAACCTCCAACATGCAGAAACTTTTACTTTTGGAAATTGAAAATTAGAAAACTGATCTGTTTGTGTAAGTAAAACCCTTCAAGCTACCTCTTACCTAAGATCACAAAGGAAAGGAGTCAGACTCAAAAACAAGAGATCAACAGATTAAACACCTGCTTAGTATTCTAATAGCCTCCATTAAAAACCCTTACTTTAAAAAGTAAACAGTTAAGAGATACTCATCAAGGTGGATAGCCTTTAGTGCAGAAATTTGTGATGTGGCTGGGTGGCACCACCTGAAATCCTGGAGAAGGAGCTGGAGCTCCCCAGTCATTCAAGACACACCCGCCTGGCTCACTGCGCCTGGCTCCCCACAGGATGCGTCTGCCTCCTGATACACATCAACTTTCTTATGTTAATGAATGCTTCTGATGAAATTGAGGGTATTTTTGTTTTAAAATATAGTTATTAGCCTTTAGGTCAGGATCCTTTGGAGAGGGGGGCAGGGTAAGGATTGTTTGCAAGCCAGAGTAGGGTCATCCAAGCAGATACTCGTGATGTCTCCAGGACTGAGCCCCTTTCTAATGCTCAGATCTTGATTTCTGTTCACTGCCCCCTTTCCCTTTGAGCGCTTCATCTTCCTGTTGAGGGCCCGGAGCTTAGTAGCTTCACTAAGATGTTCTGTTTCTTTGCTTGATAATTTAATTTGGCACTATAATGAAGTAGAAAAACACAGGTTTTGTAGTTGAGAAAACTTGTTTTAAATCCTGACTGCAACACTAACTGGTGGTCTGACTTGGGTAATGAACTCTCTGAGGAATCTTCCTTTTTAGGAAAAAGGATCCATATCAAAATATGGTTGGAAATCGTAATGATTGTAGGAAATCATAGTGCTGGTTCCACAACATTGTGAATATACTTAATGACATAGAATTATGTACTTAACTAAATGACTAAAATGGGAATTTTATATGAAATAAAATACAGATAGCATATATATTGTATATATTCATATATATGTATGAAATAAAAATATGTACTAAAAGAACTAGTTTCATTTTGGTTTTTGGTGGTATTTAGGGCTTTTCACTGAGCTCCATGCTCAGCCTTTTTATTTTTTATTTTGTGACAGGCTTTCCCTAAGTCTCTAAATTGTGTAGGCTGGGTAATCTCGCTTCAGTCTTCCAGAGTGCTGGGATTACAGGTATGCACCACCATACCTGGCTAGGTTGTGAGAATTAGTCTTTGTGCAATACCCATTACAATACCTGGCACATAATAGTCACTCAACAAGTAGTAGTTGTTATAGCATTGGACATTTTATGCTGCAAATAACAAAAAATAACAAACTGGCTTAAACAATAAGAGAATGTATTGATGTATGAAACAGAATGGCCCAGAACTAGGACAGAATTTTGGGTTAGTTCAGGTTCTCTAAGCTGTCATTAGCAATTCCAGTGTGTCACTAAGGACTCAATTATTTTTTACCTTTCCACCCTACTCCAGTGTCAGCTTTATCCCACAGTTAGCAACCCTCGTGATCACAAGATGGCTGCCAACAGCTCCAAAGAGATGCATGCTCCCTTGTCTGACTTCTAGGATTACCTGGTCCTAGGATTCCAGCAAGTATCCTGCTCTGGCACCTGGAATCAAAAGCCGTGCAGAAGAAAATAGAATGTATTGAGCATGGTGTTGCATGCCCGTAATCTCTGCTACTCAGAAGTTTGAGGCAGGAGGATTAAAAGTTCCAAGAGGCCATTCTAGGCAACTTACTGATACTCCATCTCAAAATAAAGTTTGAAGAATGCTAGAGGAAACTGGAAGTGTAGCTTAGTAGTAGAGCCTTGCCTAGTATATGTGAGGCCCTGGCTTCAGTCCCCAGCATGGTGGCAAGGATGAAGAAGATGGAATGTGATGGTGACAACTAACCATGGAATGGTTCGGCTTCTGGGTAAGCAGGGAATAAGCTACATAGGGAGGAGTGATTTCCCCAAAGGGCAGTCAAGCTACTGTTCTACCGGTGAGAGAAGGCAGGCTATTGCATGAAGTAGGCAACCAGAAAATATATGCTTTAATAGCTATTATCAGTATTACTGGCTTTCTTGGCTCTTAGCCTTCAGCTCTTGGCTACTTCTTTGGAAATCATTTTTTAAAAAATCTAAGAGCTCTTATTTCAAGTAATCATGGCCTTTCTAGCAAAGAAAGATCAGTGAGTATAAAAGTAAGTTTAATGACTTGGGTGTTAAGTATGTGTAACATCAACCAAACAAGCAGCAAAAAAGCATTGACCAAAGGAGTTCAACAAGAATGAATGCCAGGGTCAGGGAGGCAGGGAGGGGGCTGGCAGATGGCAGGTTACCAACATGCCAAACCAAGAGGAAGGCTAGCTATGCTATAGGGCAGAGGATCACCCAACAAAGGGCAGGGACAGTCCCCAAAGCAGAGCCGACAGGAGAAAGAGCTCATTAAAACCTCGTGTGGACTCCTGCCTGGCTCTGTGCAGCTCTCCTCTGCCCACCTAAGTGATTTTCTTTTCTTTCTGCCCCAGCCCCCACTTGATGAGTCACCAGTCATTGCCAATTTTATTTCATCCCGTTCGCCAAAAAGCCTCTTCCACACTCCTTTGCCTCATTTCATCTGGCTATATCCATTGGTTAAGATGTTAAATTCTGGTCTGTTCTTTATGGGGAAGTCTTCCTGTACACCACTACTGAAAGGGTTTTGGCCCAGACAGGATTCTGTAGTCAGGAAAACCTCAACCGGAAGCAGGAAGCCCCATCTCCCCTGCCCCTAGGAAGTTACCTGTGACACCATCTTCCCGCCCCTGGAAATTTACATATGGCGCCAAACCTAGGACCAATGGGCTACCTGTGTATCCCTAATGCCCGCCTTAGGTTCCACCCCAAACCAAGGCTATTTACAGGCCCCCACGCCACGTGTCCGCCAGAGAGATCGCCGGACGCCAGCGATGGGGGTGCCGGTCATCTCTCTCCGTGTTCTCAGAATAAAGGCCGCTTTTTATTTTATATTTCTCATCTTTTGTTAATATTTTTCATCTTTTGGAAATAACCCTAGCATTTGGTGCCATGACTCGATCGGCAGGCGATTGACTCCTGGGACACACTCAGTTGAGTCTCCTAGCCGATAACCAGATAACATCCTGGATTAATCCTGAGGTTTTTCCTCTCCCAAGACGTTCCTGTCGCCAGCCGCCTGCACTCCGCATCGGCCAGATTGATTTCAGGTGAGCACTCCCCGGGGAACTTTTGGTACTGGGCAGCCCCAGTCAACTGTTCTCCCCGTCTGCGTGGGTCTGTGCATTTTCACGTCCTTAGGACCTCCCAGGGCAGGGTTCTTTCTGGGCAAACCTGCGTCCACAAAATCTCTCACGTTCTTTGGGTTCGGATAGCCCAAAGCAGGGATTTTTGGGACCGCCCACACTGAAAGAACGCCTCACTTCCCTTAAAGCCTTGCGCTTTCAAGGGCAAAACTGTTACTGATCCCACGCAGGCTCCACTCCTAAATCTCTCAGTGACGACTGGAATTTACGAGTTTTTGGAACCGTAGCCGCTGCGTGGTGCCACAAATAAGTGACGACTTGTTCTGGACCTCCGGTTTTTTTTCTTGCCTGAATCAGTCATGGGGAACATATTTTCTAACTCCCAAAAGATGCCTTTACAATGCCTAATTTCCAATTTACGTACTCTAAAAATTAAAGGTACCATAAAAACTAAACAACTAACTTTTTACTGCCAGGAGGTCTGGCCAACCTACCTGCTTATCGGCAAGCCTTGACCCCAACAAGGAACGTTTGACCCCTGCATTCTCAGGAACTTGTATGATTTTTGTCAAGCTGGCAACAAGTTATTAGAACTCCCTTATGTCCAGGCCTTTCTTGTTCTGAGAACACGCCCATCTCTCATTAAGTCTTGTGCTCCCACTGAGATACTTTTAGCTAACTCTACCGCGCCGCAAACTTTTCCGTCCTGCCCTCCGTTGTTTTCCCGGCCACCGCCTACCACCAAACTCATTCCCTGCCGTTACCTCCCGCCGGACCGCTCTCCCCTCCCCCTATGCTTGATTCTCTCAGCAGCTCTAATCCCTCTCCGTCGCAGATACCTCCTGCTGTTCGATCATCTCCCTCTCCACCTTCCGGGACCCATAACTCTCCCAGCAGCTCTAATCCCTCTGTGTCGAAGTTATCTCCCGATGTTCCATCCTCTCCCCCTCCTTCTCCTGGGATCCATAACTCTCCCAGCGGCTCTGATCCCTCTGTTAGCGCTTCCTCGCAGTCTCCAACTTCTTCTCCTGAGAATTCTCTATCCCCTACAGCATTCTCACCGCCCACCCACCATACTAGGTCTCGGTCGCTATGTCCTTTCAGCAGGCCGCATGATTGTTCCAGCTTGCGCTGGGAACAGTCGCCATGTTGCAACCCTCTGCCACATGGCATGGCGCCGCCATGTTCAGGAGGGCCACATGGCGACAGGGCGCCGCCATGTTTTGGGTCATGTGACAGGGCACCGCCACATTCCCAGGACCTCACTGTCAATGGGCGCCTCCTTGTGGCTCCTCTTGTGAACTGCAACAGCTGCCCTGTTGCAGTGCACATGATGCTTCATTGAGCTGCCGACAGCAATTTTCTCACTGCAAGGCACACAGTGAGATGCCATCTGTTTGTGTTTCCCAGGGTGGCCAGCAGCAGCTCTGTAGCCGCTCTACAGATGATTGCTCACATGCGCCTACTGGAAGGATGGCTGCTCAATGGCCCTCTGCTCCGAAATCTCCTCAGGCTCTGCTACCGCTTCGGGAGCAAGCTGGCCCCAAGGAACTTGTTAACATCCATGTGCCTTTTTCCCTTTCTGATCTATCCCAGATTACCCATCAATTAGGTAGCTTTTCTGTTGACCCACAGAATTATATCAGGCAATTTGAATTCATTACTAATTGTTATGATTTACATTTTAAGGATGTTTATGGGATTCTAAATACCTCTCTCAGCTCACAAGAACGGAATCAGCTGTGGCAAGCAGCTCAAAAAGAAGCTGATCACAGACATGAGGTAAACACCGCTGGTAATGACCCTGGGCCTATAGCTGTGCCAGAGCAGGACAAGCATACTAACTATAACAAACTTTTAAAACAGGTCCAGGAGGCTAATAAAAACCCAGCTGTGTTCCTAAATTGGCTTTCTAATCCTCGCACCCTGCAAGCAGTTCCAGCTTTGCTCACTGTGTCAGGCCGCCTCCCAGCCCCTCCCCCATGCGCCGTCCCAGCCCCTCCCTCCCCCATGCGCCGTCGTCATCACCGCCGCCATCTTACACGTTTCGGGGGCAGTCCCAGCCCACCCCTGCATGCTACGTCCCAGCGCTTGCCCCACCTGCTGGGTGTGCTCTGCTGCAGTGTCGCGAAACAGCAGCTCAGCGGCTCTGCTCAGGCATGCTTTTTTACAATTCAGCTCTGCTCAAAAGATGCTTTTTTTTTTTTATTACAATTCTCAAACCATTTAATCAAGGTTATTGGCCACCTGATAATTTTACCAGCCTTGTTTATCAATCAAAGCCTTCACCATTCTCCTGTTTAACAACTAAGGTTATAAATTCCTTTTTGCTGGGAATCACTAGCTCTACTTCAAGACAAGGGTTTTCTTCAAAGTTTTATTTTATTTGTCTTGGTTTATACTACTGCAAATAACAACTTTAAAAGTAAATGTGTTCAGAATTTGACAGTATTAGATCAGTTTTGATAGATTTATTCATCAGATTGCTATACCTTTACTGAAAAATGTTTCCATTAAAGCCTTTTTGGGCAGATTAAAGCTTTTTGGTTAATTCTATGTGTCACCCTATAAAAAAAAGTGATATGCCATCCAGATAAAGCCTGCTCTCTAATCCAAAATGCCAATATTAAACTCCTGCATACTTACTTAATTCTACTGTAGTCCAAATCCCAAACAAAAAGGCAAAACTTGACCTTCAAACCTTATAGAGTTCTTAATATGTTTTTTTATACTTTTAACACTTGTGACACTTGGAGTTCTGAGACAGGTAAACCTACACAAGGTGGAGCTGCCTGCCCCCTCCATGGACCATGCTCAAATGTAGCAGAAGACATTGGACAAGAAAATGCCCCTTCCTGGCATTCTTTGAGACCTTACTCCAGGGCTACTGGACTGTCCTAGCCACCAGAGAGTGGGTAAGTCATCCTAAGTTCTAGCCCTCATAGGAAATGTCGACACTGCCAGATTCGTCACCGACAGAAAATCGCTGCTGAAGACTGAGGGGGTTCAGGGCAACAACAGCCCCTTTAAGGTGTCTGTCTCAGATTCCAAGTCGCACTAAAGTCTCAGGTAAGACATTCTCTATATTTGTGGACATAGAGGCCATGTATACAGAGTTCTTCCTGAGTATTTAGGCTGCTATATTAAGTCCTCAATCTCTATGACAGGGTATTGATGGTCAACCTATGCCATTTACATTACAAACAGGGCCTATTTTGTGCAGTTTCCAGTCTTCTCACTTGGTTTATACTTTTTCAGGATACATAAAAGCCTTTCTCATACTTGCTAAAGTTCTGTTACAGCAAATCATTCCAAGGACTACAACCAGGTTACAGCGACCCATGCCTAAATCAAAGTTGCTAGACTGCCATTCTGGTTTCACATCACTCAGGCTAAAAGGTGCCCTCCCAGCCCTAAATGTGATCATTCTGAGTGGTCATCTCATCTTCTGTCGCCTACCCGTCTCCGTCTCACAAAGGCCTTGCAGCCACAGTTAACAGGCTAAGTCATGTTTTGTTACCCACTTTGGTTTCTAATTTCTTACATTCTATTAATGATCATTTTTATGGCAGGACTCTAACAGTATTGCCTACAGACTCCAACATTATGCATACCAGAGACAAGCCTTACCAACCTACCATTGACCGGAGCCACGGGAGACAGGAGACCAAACTCGAGCAGGATCAGCTCTCAAAGTTTATTGCGTACAGCGAACCGGACCTAACAAGGTTCGCCACCCTCAACGTTAGTTCCTCTTCCGCCCGTTGGGGGCAGGAACAGCCTCTTATAAGGGGAAGCAGTATCCAATCACAGAGAAGCGCGTCTAACAAGCTGATAGGCTAGCGTCACGGGTGACTGGGCAGACATGACAATTTGGCGGGCTTGTTCAGGCCGGGAAGAACCCGGAAGCAGGAAATGGGCGCCATCATAGGCGGCTTCCCACATACCATCTTAACTTTTATGCTTTCAGATGGGGGAGTAATCACCTCTCATAACTCCACTCCTCCTAACCCCACATTTAATTGTCAGAATTCTGCCTTACCGTGGAAATGTTTCTACCTCAACATGGTCCTGATAGAATGATATGTCTAAATCAAAGGCACCTTTCCCTCTACCTCACCTGGGTCCTTAAATATGACAGTGCCATGTCTCCTCATAACATCTTGTCTCTTTGTTTTTCCAGTCTGACATACGTGCATTCACCAGTGAAGTTGTCCTGGCTAAAACACCTGGCAGCAGCGTCTACCTGGGCATCAACCTTCATCCCATCGACTCCCCTAGGCTCCAGTACAGCGCCCTTTTCCAGCAGGAAGTAGTTAAAGAGAGAAATCTTCACCCCTTTTCATAATAATAATCATAAGACGGGATATGAAAGGGTTTTGGCCCAGACAGGATTCTGTAGCCAGGAAAACCTCAACCGGAAGCAGGAAGCCCCATCTCCCCTGCCCCTAGGGAGTTACCTGTGATGCCATCTTCCCGCCCCTGGAAATTTACATATGGCACCAAACCTAGGACCAATGGGCTACCTGTGCATCCCTAATGCCCGCCTTAGGTTCCACCCCAAACCGAGGCTATTTACAGGCCCCCACGCCACGTGTCCGCCTGAGAGATCGCCGGACACCAGCGGTGGGGGTGCCGGTCATCTCTCTCTGTGTTCTCAGAATAAAGGCCACTTTTTATTTTATATTTCTCATCTTTTGTTAATATATTTCATCTTTTGGAAATAACCCTAGCAACTTCCACCTCACTTCCCCCCTAAAGAAAACAGGACGCACGCCACAGGCTGACTTGAGTAATGCTGCGTGGGGTTACTCACCTCGAATCAATACACAGAAGCCTAGTGAGTGGTTTTCCTGTCTGACGCCAGCCCTGGACTCCTCTCCTCCCCCACCACAGGACAGCTTCTGAGAGTAGAGACTTAGGCTTGGTCATTTTTGTTTCCACGATGCCCAGCATAATGAGGGGAACATATTAGGTGCTCAATAAACAAGGCTTCCCCAGAGCTTAAGAAATAGAATGACATAAACACACCAGTGTTTCACAACCCAGTGGTAATCCACCTTGGGATAAGAGTTGAAAGCGAGGCACAGCAGTTTGTATCCACTTCATCTGTGAAAGTGGTGATGACAATCCAGACTGCCAAGAGGATTCAAATGTCCACTTTTTTTGTCCTCCATCTTTAAACACTGTCTCTATTCCCAAACTCTCAACAGGTATTTATTTACTTGTTTAGCCACAGATTGCTTACAATTTTGTGTTGTTTATTCTTCAGAAAATAAGGATGAAGTTATTATATGAAAGTGCCCGTTATAATTGTTCAGACTTACGCTAGTTATTGGTGTTTACAGAGTGAAGCTCCTGAACTAAACACCAGGTGCTCAGTAAACTCCATGTAATACCTCATTCCTGGCTACAAAGAGCTCATCTGACGTGTATGTAGGGAATCTGCTTTTTGTTTAATTATTTTTCTACTCTGATGGAAATGGATTGCTCCATCACAGGGAAGGCGTCAATTACCGCCTAAACACAGTCACACCTGATGACTACGCCCTTCAGTGTTTAGCCTCAAAACATTTTGTATTTTTCTACCACATAGAATTAAAAATATTTTAACGCCACACTCAAAAGAAATTAAATATAATTTAAAATGTTCAGGGAGGTAGAACACAGCCCGATTTTTTAAGAAAGCTAACAGAAAGATCCTGTGCTTTGCCTGGTGGCTAGATTTTGAAAATGAGCTATAAGAACAGGTTTCACAAGTGTGGGCCACTTGAATAATCTCGTGTAGACTTCTGGTATTTGGAGTCAGAACCAGACAGAGGTGAGTTCTGCGAGGTAAAATCTCTTTATTCACCGCCCCCGTGGGACCGGTGGCTGCTGTGAAAGCCCCTTTACCCTTCGGTCCTTCCCTCCATGGCCTGTGCTTGACTGAACTCTGTCCAGACCCGAGGGCCCTTGGGCTTTCCCAGCAGAGTGACCCACAGGACTTTCCTCTCACTCTCTAGGGCCTCTCTAGAGAATAAGAGCTCTCCGAATTCTAAAGAACACTTAGGGAACATTTTTCTTAATTTGAAGACATACACACTTTTTTTCCACATTTCAATGTTTGTGAAATTAACCTTATAGTCTTTTTCTTTTTTTCTCCTTAAAAAGCAATTACTTCATTTTTGGTCAGTCCTATCATCAAAATTATCTTGGAACTGAAGAAATGTGGCATTAGTGTGCTTTACTGAACAGTTTTTGTACAAGTCAGAAAATGTTGCTGGTCTTGGAGATCTGAGTTATATGTAGCAGAAGGACTTTATATATGAATTGTTTATGCAAAACAAATTGTTGGTTGTCTGTTGTCTGACATTAAGTTACATGATCACCTTATCGCTTTGGACATTCTAGTTTGGGGATGAAATACAAAGGAAATATGAAGTTAAATGTCTTCATCATATAGATATAAAGGATCTCAAATTCTCTCTGTACAGTAAGGACAGTAAGGCCTAATATTTGTGTTGTGCAAGAGCCTGGGGTTTTAAACAGAACTCTCCACAAAAGTGTCCTTAATGACCAGCTTCCATGAAAGAATTATAATTTGACCCCATCTATTCCTATTTTTACTAATGAGAGGATGGTTGTTTTTGGAAACAGGATTTCAACACAGTCATATATATATATATTTTTTTTTTTTAGTTTTTTTTTTGTCTTTTAGAGACAGAGTTTCACTACACAGTTCAGGCTGGCCTTGAACTTGCATAGATTCTCTTGCCTCAGTCTCCTGAGTGCTGAGATCATCATAGGCATGTGCTACCATGCCCAGCTCGACATTAATATATGATACATACTTTCTGCTGAGCATAAAATGCTGAAATATCTGAGCCCCATTTCTGATATTTAGTAAATTTATAGAGCAATTTCCTAAAATATTACAAGATTGTAAATGGGATAAAAATTATTCTAAGGGTCCTCATCAAAACATTTTTAGTTGTTAAAATTAAAAATAAAAGAGAAATTCTGAGAACAATTGTGTCACTGATGTTTGCAGTACCCAGGACAAGTGTACAAATAAGAAGGCTACACAGAACAGGTTTAAATCATCTAAAATTATATATCAAGCTATCATACTATTAAATATCCACCTTCTTTGACAAATTGTCAGATATGCTGTTGTTTTGATAATATTTTTTGAGATGTGCAAAATGATTTTCATGTAGCTAAGAGTGGACTTTATTGTGCATTTGAGTGTTCTATTGATGGATTTGTGATATTTAAGAAATAAATATGTAATTCCATAATTCATAAATTGCTATGTTTATTGCATAAAATATTGCATTTACATTTTCTTTTTACAGCAAAATAATTATGTTAATTAGATCTTCATGTAATTTGTGCTCTGGGCACAATAAAATAGCAAAATAAACAACTTCACTCAAATACTGTACTTGAAGGGAATCAGAATAAATCATCCCGAAACATGCTACTTTGACACAACGTTATTTTGAGCTGAAGGCAGTTTAGGGACTGTGGCTATAATTCAGTGGTAGATTGTTTGTCTAGTATGCATGAGGACCTGGGTTTGATCCCCAGAATTGGAAAACAAAAGTAGCAGATATTGCACAAAAGAAGCTTTTATCCTCCTGAACAAGTGTTATCCCTGGAGACAGAAAGCCAGCACTGAGTTAGGTCTGCACTGACTGTAGTGAAGTCATCCTTCCTGCCAGGATTGCCCCTCCCATGGCCACAGTTACTGCTTTTAGAAGCCCTTTTCCATTGTCTTCTCTCTCCACAATTCATCACCCTTTGTTAAATGGTATAGAAAACCCAGGCTTTAAGCACTTTAGTTCTTTACTTTTTTCCTATGATGTCCTCTGTGCACATAAAAGTATCAGTTGGGAATGCTGGTGAACACCTGCCATCCCAGCACTCAGGAGGCTGAGGCAGAGGGATCTCAAATTTGAGGCCAAACTGAGACACATAGTGCATTGGAGGCCGGCCTGGACTACCTACTGAGAATTTAGCAACAGAATGATTAACAACAAATAAGATTTATATGCCTTTTCTTCTGTTCATGTATCTATTGTCAGTTTACTTTGCAGGTCTCAGTTTCAGAACCTCCAAAAATACAGGAAAATATTTTTCCTCCTCTATGTATTCCCTAGATTTTTGCTTAACGTTTTATCATGGAAAATTTCATACATTTACAAATGTAGATAGTAGAGTATCAATTTTATGTATCATGTTCAGACCTTTTTATGAGGATGTAATAATGATAATTACCAGAGAAAATATAAATTTTAACCTATGAGAAAAATTTTATCATATGAATTATATTCTATAGATTTCTTGTCACCAGCCTGTACAGCAGTATCTACCCACAGCTTAAATTTTTTTCAGTTCTTTTCAATATTGGGATGTGTATCATAAAAGAAAACAAAAGTTTTAGCACTATGTAGTTCAGCTTCTTCTAATTTCTTTTGAGGGGCAGGGATGTAGCTCAGCGGTGCCGCACCTATCTGCCAAGCATGAGGCCCTGAGTTCAATTCTAGACCAGTCCATACCTTCTGTGTGCCTTTGTTAACACTATTAATAAAAAGAGAGAGTCCATACCAAATAACTGTGGTTCACACAAATCCAAAGTATTTACCATTAGAGATCACAATTCCTTATCTACTTATAAGAATCCACTGCTGCTTCTCTTTACTCTCCTGATACAACTCACTATCTTGTCTAAATTAAATCTAACTGCTATAACAGTTTTTTTAATGGCACATCCATTGTTAATTGAGAATGTCTATAAAGTCAAATTTGATGTGTGTTTAGTCAAGATGATCCAAAATATATTGTATATAATCTTTCAATCACTCCAAAGGATGTCAATGCTATTATCAGAGCTGAGGCCATATCTCCTAGGTATATGTTAACAGGTGTTTTTAAATTTGTGTCTGTGTATTTTGATTTACAGAGCCCTTTGAAATATAAGACTCAGAGCATAGTCTCTTCTTGTTAAAGTCTAAGAGTGGCCTTGCAGACCAATAACAAATGTAAGTATTAACACGATAATACTTTATAATATGCATGTGCTACACTTTTGAAGCCTTCTGTATTTACAATTTCTTTTGATCTTCCTAATAACTTGTGGGCTAGATAGGGTAATTAGAGATGAGAGGGATAGGTATAGAGAGGTTAAGTGATTTATCTCAAATTACACATCTAATTAGTGGTAGAACTCAGCATGGAGCCTACGTACCTACACACACAGGGGCCTTCCTGACACTGGGGTGCCATGATGCCTCCTCAAACTTTCTGAGACAAAATAACCTGTTTGTCAGATTGCATTCCAACACTTTTTGCTTCTTAAAACCTTTGGGTTTTAGTATAGAAATTAAAGACAGGGCAATGAATTTTAGAAAGCCATATGCTCTTTTATGCTTGTATCAGCTATGCAGGACAAATATATACATATAGACCAAGGTTTCAAAAACTAGAGATTTATCTCCTCCTAGGCAAAGTTTTGTTTGAGCAACACAGAAAAAGTTTTCCAAAGAGTGTGGGACATAGTTCTTTACCTATTCCTATGGTACTATGTTCAATTCAGGGAATATAAACAGCATCTTCTAAGAGCCAGAGCTTTTGGGAATGGTTGCCTTAGCTCAATATACCTAGAAGTTCACCTAGAAGAATGAAACATTAGTATGC